TTTATGCTCCCTGAGCATTTCACAACGCCAGCACACCAAATCATCCTACAGAGCAGCCTCATTTTAACAAATTAGGGAAGCTTCGTTTTCCCCATGATGAGAAATACCTGCAAATGAAATGAAATTTATTAAAATGTTAAAATGTGCTGTCAACTTGCAAACAATTATCTCCTTAAGCTTTTCATAAAGAAATAATTGTTACCCAAAAGGATTCTAAAAGTCAGTAACTGAAGGAGGGAAATAATTCTTAGCATCTGCTTCCTCAGTAATGGTACGTGACAACCAGGAAGGATTCTATTTCAAAAACAATAATAATGATTACAACTTCCCAGTAAACAACTCACATTTTTCACAACTCCAAAATGTATTTTCATAATCATAATATTTAACCACAGAACAACAAAAGTTGCCATCTAACAATGGATCGCAATTTTAAGGGTGCCACAAGGCTAAAAGAAAGTCCTATTTCATGAGAGACACGCTGTTCCTGGACTCTCTTTAGCACTCCAAAACATGCGCAATGATAGTGCAAAGTACAGTCCAAACATCAGTTAGGCTGACTGAGTTTAAACTGTAATCTGCTCAATTCATGACAACGGTTACTACCTCTTGAGATCTTAAACTTCTTCACGTGTTGTGACCTCTCTCTTTCTTCAGAACCATTCCCCGCTTCAGAGAAAGCCCAGGCCCTCTACCCCACCCCATCCTGTCTTTTTTTTCCCCTTCAGACAAGACACAGCCTGGGGATTCCAGGCCTCCCTCCCATAGGCCAGACTTCCTTCTGTGCAGTCCTTTGGCTAATCCTTCTTATTAATTAACAAGATAATGGTAGTTAACCAGAAAGCAATATTAATGCTAACTATCTAGGCAACTTCAACCAAAATTATGTTCACTTCTTGGTCGCTTTTCCTGTTGTGCAGAATTGTGCACTGAGAATTTGGCAACATTTTGATGCAGAGTTGAGACATTCGGGAAAGACTGACTTATATCAGACCGCAACACACAGGTTTCCTCATTAAGGTTTTCTCATTTGTTGTTTTTTATTTTAACATTTACACTGTTGTACATTACTAACTAGAAAGAAAAGTAAGGTCCTCTCAACATGTTACTATAACATTTGGAAGTGTGGAATCTGAGGGAACCAAAAATTGCCTAAGAAATAAGCAGTGATGGAACTGAAAACAGTAGTCAGTCATAATGAATGAATCACAGATCACACTACATTTGGCTAGTCCTCCACACCCTCCTCATAGCACACTCCACATCCTATGGTACATTTCTGTCCCAGTAAGGTGTGCTGCGTAAGGCTTGCCTGCTTTCTGTTTTGTTTTGTTTTGCTTTGCTTTCATGACTGCAATAACAAAGACAATATGGGAAACAGGTACCACCTGCCCAAGAATCATTGGATATCTTTAATATCTTTGGGGAAAATGGAGGCCACTTTAGAGCTATTTTTTTTCTTCCTTTAATCTGTCACAGTCTTAAAAAATAAAAAAAATAAAAACCCTAAAAAAAAAAAAAAAAGGTTTTATATTAGCTAAGGTTTGCTGCAGCAAACAAGCAAGCAGCTTTCATTCAGGGATTGTCAAAAACTTTCCAGTGTGCCCACTGCAATGCGGATGCCAACCAACGAATCAAAGGCATTCAGCAACTAGACAAAGAGGGTCTGATGCCAACCTCGGTGCCACTGGCAACCATTATTGGCATCAAGCACAGTGTCTGCCTTTTTTTTTCCCCCTCGCCTGGCACTTCACAAACAAAATGGCGGTTCTTGTAGCAACGAAACAGCCGAAGCGCAGCCCTCTGAATCAATAACGTCAAATGATTTTATGGATTTAAACACAGTTACTCCCAAATGATGTGTATATTTTAGGTAAAGTGTGGGTGGGAGCTTACATACTTTTATAAACGCCTACATTGAACATGACCCTTTCCTAATGTAGAGAAATAGAAAAAATGGACTGAATTGCGGCCAACCAGGCTATATGCATAGACGAAGCTGAATAACAAAGACATTTAGCTTTTAAGAAAATACTGCTCTGAGGCCATGTGATGCAAAAGTCTAATGAACTATATATCAAAAATGATTTCAAAATGCATAATTTTTTTCCCCAAACCATATCAGATGCAGATGTAACACTACAGCTTGTGTCAAAGCTCTAGTAACTCTTTCCACATTTCAAAAAAGATGAGACTGCTGGGCACGAAGGGGGAAAAAAAAAAAAAGAAGTGTGGGTTGAACCAAAAGAGAAAGAGGAAAAAAGAAAAGCATAGGAAGTTGGTCAACAATGGAAGTTTATTACATGCTGGACTTTATTTCACCCTTCAGAAGAGATGCAGTTTGTGATCTTGTATAAATAACCAAGAGGACTATTGACATTTCTAGATCTGGAAATTGTCAATATATTGTAACATCACTCCACACTGCAATGCGGATGCCAACTAACAAATCACAGGCATCCTGAGCTAAACAAAGAGGGTCTGATGCCAATCCTGATGCCAGTGGCAACCATCTTTGGCATTCTCTCTGTCTTTCTCATGTTTTCCTCCCAGTCGTTTAGAAGTGGGGTGAGAAAGAAAAAAGGGGGAAAGATTATTTCGTTGCTCATTCTGTTGCAAATATAACATTTTTCTGTTCCGATTTTTTTTTTCATGTTTTTCTTTTTACTTCTTTACCTGACTTATAAAACAGACTTAAGTGGGTTTTCATGTACCTCTAGAGGAGAAATAAAAAGTCATTATGGGAGATATGCAGCCCTCTAACTGACTACAGACTTATCTTTAGATGCCGTCTTTAATCAATTGCACTGCAAAATAGCACAGTCTATATTTGACATATATGTACATTTTGAAAAAGGGAAAACACAAAAGCATCTTGATGTGACTTTTTCAAAGAAAAGAGCCAAGAGATGTTAAGAAGAGATGAAGCCCTGGCAGGTAGTAGAAGATACAAATTAGATGCACAAGGTAAAATAATGAAAGGTTTTTATGATAGAGACGCAAAACAACAACAAAATCAATGTTTTAGCTGAAAACATGGTCTCCAAGAGTTGCTTAAAACTTTACAATTATCATGACTGATGGTGCAACGCAGAAGGCATTTGTGCATTTTTCTTTCTTCAATCTATCTTCACAAATCCAAAGGATATGTTCTTTATTGCCAATTCATCAACCAAGGGAGTTGGCTGCCTGCCCCAGGGGTGAATGTACATGCGTGCACACCTCAAGGACTAGCCTTCAAGCAAGTTAAAATGTGTGCAGCAGTGAAGTGCTTGCAAATCTTCCCTACCCTGCACTAAAAAGTTACATGGCCCACTTTTTAAAACTTTTTACTTCTAGCCTTGACTTTCACAACACAGTTACAACACAGTTACAGTCAATCCAACACATATATACAGCCCACCTTAAAATGTCACCTCCTAGACAGCTGTCAATCAAATTAAGTGTCATGTGTTAATGAGCTTTAATTTGGGGACACAAAGGGCGAAAATATATTTTTACCCATACCATCATTACTTGGACTTTAACTCGTAAATGCATGAAAATAATAAATGTAATGGTTTCTTTTTTTTTTTTTTTTTTTTAAAGCAGTATTTCCAAAAGTAGGATGTCCAGCACCATTATTTAAAATCAAACCAAAAAAAATTTAAGTGACATTTAAGCATATCTCTAAAACAGTATCAAGGAAATATAAAGGCAAAAAGCACATAGTAAGTTACCTAGATTTCTGAGTCAAAGCGTAATTTTGGTATTTTATCTTTTGGATGATAATCAAGTTCATACCAATTCATTAAATCTCACATTTATATAGCAGACATCAGATAACCAACCGCCTGCCACCTGACTATCTATAGGCCATTTTCCCCACCACCAGGCCAAGTTAGGAAATAACCCACCATCTGTGGTAGATCAAACTTCAGTCCACTTTTGGTATGCTGTTTCTTAAAATGATGTTTTACTATGGACTGTTGCTAGTACAAGGACATCTATGTCCTGACACATTGATTTGAAGACAAGAAATTCTCACCTACTTAAGGAAAATACATTCAGAAAAATAAAAATAATAAAGAAACATTTCATCAACTCAAAATACACTCAGCAAAAATATCACCTATTTTTGAATTATTCAGGCAACATTTATACCACTCTGTTTATCAAGTATTTTTTTAAATAGGTATGGTATGTGGTTCCTGCATTCTTTCTGAGATTTATTTTAAACCAGTAGAACTAGTCCACTTTCTGTTTTTGTTCTATAAGGAGAACTGCGACTTTTCTCCTTGGTAGGTTTTATGATTTACATTCAAGTAACTGACAATATTAAGTGTTCCCAAGTCAGTATGGGAAAATATTATAAGTTATTTAAACAAGAACTATTATCATTTCATCTACAGTGAATATTGTACAATCAAAAGTAGATATTGATAGAAATAGAAGTATTTAAATAAATTTACATCTACAAAGATATACTCTCTGATATTGGCTACCTTAAGCATTTTGTAATAGGAAATGTTAATTCTATTTTCAGTGCAATAGTACTAAATTCATGAACAAAGTTCATCTCCCTCGTTAGCTATGAGACTAATACAAAGATTATTAAAGAGTGGTTCGACTATTCATAAATAAAGTTACATTTGCGAATTGAGAAAAGATGAGTAGATGCAAGGAATGGAGCCTAGGACAAAACAGTGAAGTGTAGTAAACCATAGCTTTTCAGACTAATCTGTGTCTTTGAAAAAGTAGATTATTTCAAAGACATTTGAAAACGTATCTCTTTGTGGTCTTTCTTTAAATATCCCACACCTATGCAAGTATGAAAGCTCCACGTCTATTCCCATGGCTTGCACATGGCAGTGGACATCTACGTGGATGCCACTCTACCCAGAGTGGGTGAAGGAGGCGATTTAGGGGCCTCGAGAACCCCCTAACTCAAGCCAGATATTCCGTACACTGGTTTGTGGGCAGTGTTTGCGGTGCTAGAAGAAAGAACAATCTGCTCCTACCTTGCTCCTGCACGTAGTATGCCAAAAACAAATCAAGCTCCTTAACTGATACTGTGATATGATGTGGCTGGACACAAAGTGCTGGGTTTGTGCAATGTGGGGATTTCATGAGCCGTTCTCCATCGGTACTTTCCAAGGGGATGCCTTTGAACAGGATCACCATGACTAGATCCAGACGCCAGACTTTGTCTGCCTGTCGCAGGCAGTCGATTCTCCTAATCTTACCCTTCTGGTCAGGATTGGATAAGACACAGCACGGGTGCTTCTTGCCAGTCACGGTGAGCACAAAGTCCTCTCGGTACTCCTGGCGGATATCTTTGCGCAGTTTGGCCAGGAGCCTGGATGCCCACTTCTGTTTGATTTCAGGCTTTTCGCTGAGAAGCTCATCTTTGACTGCTCTTTCTTCATCTTTTGACATTCGCTTCTCATGCTTTTTAAAGTACTTGCGTTTTCGAGCCTGCAGGTTGAACCAAGTATAGGCGATTGCACGGACATGTGGAAGTAGTGCCTCAATGAATGGGTGAAATTCATCCTGTGGAAAATGAGAGGGGAAAAGAAGACATACGTGGTCAGTTTAGTTTGAAAAGCTCAAAACAGAAAAAAACAAAACAAAACCCACAATCCATTCCCAATTCAGGACAAAAAGTTATGCATAAAAATAACACTTATTTAAAATGATCAAAATAGTAGAACAAGGAGAAAATAAAGTATGCCAAGCTGCCCCCTTTCCACCAAAACTCACAGGTAGATTCTCACTCCTAACAAGAAAATAAGACTTATATTTGAATTTCCACTCTGGCCCCATCCCCCTCATTCCCACCATGCATCCTACATTCTTTAAAAAAAACATAAGCAACCAAGGTGCTTGGCACCTAATTTAATATTTAAATATTTGATTGACCAACTAACACTCCGCAGTACCATTTTACAAAGAAAACAGTGAGGTTTTTTTTTTTAATCGGAGCAGAGCTGTTCAGAAGGCAGGAGCGATGCCACAGTTCATTTCTCTTCTCTGTGGCACAGAAACACAAAGCATATAGATGCTCAGTGTAATGCCACACAGTTCCCGCTTTTGGAGCATGCTCTCAGCAAGAGGCTGCTGGTGGCACAAAGAGCATGCGCCATTAAACTTGATCCATTTTCTTATCAAACGTCCAACATTCCAACACTGAAACAGCACCATTCCAAGAGTGGTAACTAGAGAAACCGGTATACAGTAAGGGAAAGTGGGCAAAGGACACAGCTTGTCGTATCAGTGTCCTGAACAGAAGGTTTCCATACTTTGAGCAATGCAGTCGCTCCCGCCACCACCAACACTAACCCCCAACACACACACACACACACACACACACACACACACACACACACACACACACACACANCACACACACACACTCACACATTCTCACGCACACTCACTCACACTCTCCTGCTCTCTCGGAGACACACAGACACACTCTTGTATTTTTAAATAAAAGTTTATAAAGTTGAAAACAAAAATTGCAGGAATGCCCTTCCAGCAGTGTTTCCTATAGGATCTGAAGCCCCACAGACTCAGTTAATTTGTTAACTGATCACAGGAGTATGGCAATTCTTCTCAACCCCTTAAAAATCAATCTGAGGTGAACAATGAAAAATGGCAACTTGGCACCAACTTTACATTCTTTGTGTCTCTGTATGCGGTGGCAGGGTGACACCAGGAGTGCACTGCTGGTCACTTACTGCTTTTGTGGAATCAATACAATTCACTGGCTACGCACATGAATTCTCCAACAGGGCCGTGAGTGCACGTATGTAAGTGCGTGTGAAGCTGCACGTGTGCAGATCGTAGAGTGCCCTGTCTTTTGAGTGCAGTGGTTTACCTTAGGCTCCTGCATTTTTCCTGCCTGTTTCATCTAAGCCGTTTTCAAGCAAGGGAGGCACGAGGAGTGCAGATAATCTTTACCTACAGATATTTCAAGCTGCTTTCCAAAGCAGTCAGTGTGTGTTTCATTACTTCCTGTCATAGGTAAAACCTGTCTTCTAAGCTCAGGCCTATTGCTGTTCAGAGAAAGACTTTAACATCTTGTGCATGCATACTGTACGTGTGCACTAAGCCAAGATCTGAACCAAAGAAGAACTTCCACCAAGGCCACTTTTTTCTGGTCACGTTGACTATATTGTCACCTCAGCCACAAAATAACTTTCTCTAACTGATCATAGGCCAAGTTAAAATTTACATACTAGTGTTCATCACCCTGAACCATGTGGAATACATTCTATTTAACCAGCAGACTGGTGAATTCCATTAGGTAAAGATGATGAAAGTGCCACTAATGACGCTCTAACAAAGGTGTCCCCAAAATCCCATAGAGTTAGGGATCCACTTTTATGATGAAACTAAAAGTTTCAATGCGAAAGACTGCAGCATGTTAGCAGTTTGCAGTTCAGAAAAGGAAGAGGTGTATGTCCTATCCAATCAATAATGCGGTTATCAAGTGTTTTAACATATTGCCGTGAAACGTTCCTTCAGCAGAATAAGTACAAATCAAAATTTTATAACAATACAGAATGCAGATGATTACATCACAGCGTGAGCCATAACCAAATGCCATAGAGGAAATCATTAAACCGATCAGTAGTTTCCAGCAGAGATTTGAACAATTCGGTTACTATGTGAGCACATTAAACTAGGCCATGGAAAGAGTTAAACCACAATCTGTTCTTTGTGTGGGAAGGCAGCCCTGCTCACAGCAACCACAGCCCATGATAAGACCTCCCTATCTCCATACACTTTCTGATGCCATGCTTTCAGCTTTCACTGTAACTACAAAAACTTTGTTTATCCCCCTTAGAAATATATGCAAAAGGAAACCCTGCTCAAAAGGAAATGTGGACTTAAACTTGCTTTGGGAACTCACTTCCTATAATCTGACTTTTACTATGATTTATTGATATGATTAAAAAACATACATATATACACTCATAAACTAAAATTTGAGAATGTGGAGAGTACATGGGGGGCAGCTTTGTCTCACTCATTTTACCCTTGCCATGTTTTTAAAATGCAATATTATTTTAACAGATATTAAGCAATGCAGTAACTGTTAAGTACTTATATCCTTAAGTACTATGTTCAGTGACATTTCATTTTCTTATAAAGACATCAGACATACTTCTGATTAAATTTGTTTGAGTTTCAAATCATCTATCACCTAACAAATCTCAAAACTTTAATACATTACTTTAAACAATCAAAATGCAATTTGAGGGGTGAATTTGGAATTTCTCAGCAAATGCACACAAAACAATGTTTTTTTTAAAGTTGCCTTGAGTTTGTTGCCAATATTGCTAAGTAATATTTTAAAACATACTTTTTTTAAATTGATGAACAGAAGTAGCAAACTTTCTCAGTCCACAAAGTTGCCTTATAAATATCTTTCAGGGCTTTACTATTATGGGGATTCCATTCAAGTGAAACAGTTACTGACAAGGAGACATATCCTCAAAAAAATGACAATAAGTAGGGTTTGCTATAAGTCACATACATTTCTGTATTAACATGTCTAAAAATGTCATCTTGTAAGTGTGACTATTTTCTAATACTAAGCTCTAATATACTTTTAATAATTTTGAGTGACATAAATATGCAGCATAGTAACTGTCTTCGTCCAAAAAAAATGATTAAGGTATTCAAATGTCCAATTAATAGGTTATCACAATAACACTTTAAACAATTATGAAAATTATTTTTTAAAGCAAAGCATATATGTTTAATGGCTCTATACTAAGGTAATATGCCACCTTACTTTTGCAGAATTTTTATTAAAATATATTGAGATTCAGTAATTATTTCTGTTAAAACTTTCTTTGGTTGAACTAAATTGATAAAATAAATAACCAAGTTACAAATTTCAAATATAAAAGCAAACAGTCCTAATTGCACTAAAAATATTTATTTTTCTTTACAGGAACAATAGTTTCCATGAAAGGGATGGAAAATCAGACCAATTTAGGGGTAAAAGAGTAAATATTAGGTGTTCTTGGAATATTGCTACATAACAATAAACTATTTTTAAAATGTAACTAAAGAACCTGAAAAACAATGAAAGAAAAAAAATTCATTACAATCATGCCAAATGAAAGTTATATTATTAAGGGTTTACATTACTTTTAGAAAAAGCAAATATTAAATCATAGGTGATGGTTCTTAATTTTCTTTACATATCTGATTTATACTGATGTATAAATATTGATTTATGTCGATGTACTTATATTTTTGCATAACATTTGTTAAATATCAACTTTAACTGTAGCTCCTTTTGAATTAAAATTATTTCTAAAACCTTACTGCAACAACTGAGACACTTTGTAAAGTTTTCAACCAATTAAGAATGTTTCTCTATTTTTTATTTACATATCCTAAAAAATGTTGGCTATAGCTATTAGGCTCTTGTAATACAAAACTAAACTACTGGTCTGATATAAAAGCAACACGGTTAATGTACTCTTTACTTTTGCAACACCTTACATTACCTACAAAGTCACATAGATATTATTAGTTAAGTGAGAATTCTAAAGCTAAAATTCCTTCTCTAATTTAGGCCTTAAATCCCAAAAACAGTTTTCATAAGTCAATCTAAATTTATATTATTAAAATAGTAGAGAATATTAGTCATCATGAATTAGTGTTGGTAAGTATGCATCCTTGAATACTAATGTGATAGCTGAATGATGATGCCGTATATACTCTTAATATTCCATATGTCCTGATGCTGTAATATTTCTAACTTATACAAATTAAGATAAAGTTAGTGAGTTTTCAATACATATTTAGAGGAAATCAAAAATGTAATGTATTCGTTAGCAATCCTGTTTCTGAAAAGCCAATGTTGGCTTTTCAAATTAAATACAAATTAATATAGAAAAGCAATCCTGTACAGGTGAGAATAAGTGATTCAGTACTTTGTAAGCGAAAAGCTTACCTCTACTTGTTTTATTTGAACTCTGCTTCAATAATCTAAGAGTAATATCAAATGGATATAGTTTACCAGAAAGAGAAAAAAAAATCCTGATGATGGGTACTATAAAAGGTAACTTTAACAACTACAGACAATTCGTTATACCTGAAACAGTTCCATCATCATATTTATTGGTCAGTATACATAGTTTTTAAAGCACAAAGAGCTCAACAACTCATTTTTCCAGTTTTATTAAATTAAAGTGCACGTTTACTTGCTGAAAATAGCCATATCTAAGTTAATCATACTCAGATGCCAAACAAAATATAAACAATAAAAAATGTGTCAGCCAAAAAGCTACAGGACTGTATCCAATCACTGAATAAGCCTTATCATTGTTTTCATCTTCATTCACAATTTATGAATGCCTCAGTCCTTTTGAATCACAATGGCTTCTAATTGTCATACAATTGAAATCTTAATTGTTTGTCCATTATAAAAATGCAGCGTTGTGATATCGGATTTTTAAAAAATTGTTAACACACCTAAGACTAAGCGACACTTCTTGGAACTGTTTTAGTTTTTATGGAAATGCCAAAGAAAATGGTTATCAATTATCAATAGTGCTACTGCCTCCTAAAAGCTGAAGTCAACTGTCCCACACCTTTAGAGGTTTAAAAGTCTGCTTCAGAACGACTCTGAGCTAACATATTTAGTTAGTCCGTCAGTTGGTTAGTAAGCTGGGCGGCAATGAAAACTGCCCCCAGGTAAGTCTGCTGGATCTCGCCACTTTTACATGTGATCGTCTGGTTTAAAAATGTACAAATTCTGTTCTTAAGAAAGTATAAAGCCAGTATTTTATTTCAGAACATTGTTCCTAAAGTCTCAGGACAATTTTCAAACTGATTTTTTTTAAATGTCCTTACTTTTTCAGCATTACTTTCTGCCTTCGCAGCTACGCCTAACTATCGTCAAACGAACAGGTCTCCACAAAATGAACATGTTCTCAAAGTCCTTAACTTTCACCACAACCAACTAACTGGTGTCAACGTAAAGACCGCCTTTGTGGTGCGATCACTGGATACCTCAACGTGCGGATCACGAAGGAACAGAGTTTCAGAACCCCAAATTAAGCAAAGGAATGGGTCCCCGGAGCACAACCTCCGAATCGCCTCGTCGCCTGCCCACTGCCTGCAGGGGAGTCCAGAGGCGCCCACAGGAACTCATACTACAGTCCCCTCGACCAAGTTCACTGGTTGTTTACAAGGACTTAGTCCCCCCCTAAAGCTGCTCTAAAGCCGGAGTCCGCCGCAGCGCGCGCGGGAGCAAACGAAAGGGGTGGCGGACACCTTGGGCAGGGGCACCGCGCTGAAAGAGATACTCAGGGGGCCGCCCGGGGCTAGCCCTCGCGGGCCCGGGCCCTGCCCACCCTCGGCGGCCTCGCCCGGCCCAGCCACTCTGGCAGCACGCGGGCGCCCGCTCTTCGTGCCCAGGGCGTAGGGCTGAGTGCGCGGGGTGGCCGTGGGCTAGGGGCCGCGCGCCGGCTTCCACGCCACCCCGCAAACCCTGCGCAACTCTGGGCCACTTCTTCGAGGGACCGGGGTGTGCGGAGGTTAACTAACGCCGCAGACCAGAGCAACAAAACAAAAGGCATTTCGGGCTAGAGAGAAAACTCGAGAGCGACCGAGACATGTACCTGAGTGAGACAGATGGGAGAATACATCATGACTTCGCCTTACAACGCACTTTCCCGGAGATGCCCAAGAAAATCTTCGAGAAGCAAGGATTTCATCTATTCATTTTACAGTCGTCTGAGCCCCGCGATGCGATCAATCAGGACGGGGCTCTGCGCTGGATCACCGCAACTTCACAACAAACCCAGTCCTCCTTAAATAGCCAAAGATTCAAGTTCACTCGGCGTGCTAGATTTCCCGGGGTGAAATCCAATCTACACTTTTAACCCTCTTGCAGTCCGAGCGCGCTGGCCGTGCTCGCCGAGGCCGCCGCCGTCGCCGCTGCCGGTGTTGGCCGCTTTTCGCCTGGGTTTGGGGATTTGTTTTCTGTTTTGCAGTTGTTGTTGTTGTTGTTGTTGGGGGCTAGGGAGTGCGCAAAGATTCGTAGTGGGTTGGATTGGGGTGGTGGTTGGTGGTGAAATGCTTTTTTAAAAAAGGCGGGGAGGGGGGTGCAGGAGAGAGGGCGGGAGGGAGAGCGAAGAGAATGTGTCACCGCACTGGGAAAGTTCAAGGTTACAGCCTCGAGCACTGCGGCAGGATCCCGGAGAGGCGATCGCAGGCGAAACTTTGCCGCGAGCCGACCATGTGTGTGCGCGAGGGGGAGCGCGAGCGAGTGCGCGCGGGTGGCAGGGCGCGCGCGGGAGAGGGCCGGAGTGGGGGCGGGGTGGGGTGGGAGAGAAGGGAGAGGCCGGGGTGAGGGAGGGGGCGCGAGCGCAGGTCTCCCGGGCGGAAGAGGCTCCCAGCGCGCAGTCCCTTGCTGCAGCCGCCGTTGCCCGCGCTGGCTCCTCCACGCCCGGCCGCCCGCCTCGCCCCGCGTCTGACCCGGCCGAGCGAGGAGGAGGCTGCTGCTGCCGCTGCTGCCGCCGCCGCCGCCGCCACCGCCCAGAGCCCAGAGAGATCGGAACGAGCTCCTGAAAAATCCCAAACGATAAATCGCGCTCTCCCGCTAGGCTCCAAACTCCTCTCTTTTCTGCTCTGGGCTCTTTTTTCCCCTCCCTCTCTCTCGCTTTCTTTCCTTGCAAAACTTGGAAGTTGAAAAATTCACCGGTTCCACCCTCTGGACCCCGCTCGAGCTCTCTCCAAATCAGACTTAAGGATTGTTTTATTATTTAATTACACAATCATCGCTTTACTCCTCCTCCTGCAAACGCGCATTCCTTTTGCACCAGCCTCTCCACACCCCCCGCCCCCCACCTTCCTCCTCCTCCTCCTCCTCTCGCGCTCGCGCTCGCTCTCCCTCTCTCTCTCTCTCTCTCTCCTCATTTGTTAAAGGTTTCATACCAGTGCAACAAAACCATGAGGGTTTTTTTTCTTTCTTTCTTTTAAAATTGATCTTTCCGCCCTTTGGGCAAGTCCTGCACCCTCCCCACACTACCACACACACATACACAGCCCCGATAACCCGCCCTGGAATAGGTATTTCGGGGCTCGCTGCGGACTCTTTAAGCCGCGGGAACATCCAAGTGGGAGAAACACTGAGCCGGTCTGGGTCCGGGAAAGGAACGAATGGAAAATTCCCTCACACCCAGGCCGCCCCGGGGCCCAGGCTGGGGCGCCGACTCTCGCACCCGGGGCGGGCGCTGTCCACCAAGCCCGCCGGTTGACGGGAGGAGGGGGAGGCTGAAGAGGCGGGGGCCTGAGCGAACTTGGGCTCAAGTAGTTGGGGCGCGCGGGCGCGTATGGGGGCGGGGCCCGCCGGGGTCTCCCCAGCGTGGGCCTGCGCTCCGGGGCGGCTCGGCAGAAGCGGCGCGCAGCGCTTCGCCGAGGTTTGCCGCCCTCCCTGGGGGTGCCCCATGCACGTGGCCCTGCTCGGAGTGGCAGGACCGGGCCGAGCTGCCGTCGCCGCCGCCTCCTGTTCCCTCCCCCCCCCTCCCCGCGGCCCGCTCCTTTCTCCTCCTCCTGCAGCCCCGCTGGCGCGCTCCCAATCCCCACCCCCACCCCTAGGGTCCGGGGCGCCGGCAGAAAGCACCTCCTTCCCCGCCGCGGTGTAAGCTGGGCGGGGCCGCGGCGCGTCCGGGACTGCGGGGCGGGCGCGCGCGTGAGCGGGGTGCGTGTGCTGCCGCTACAGCCCTGCAGAGGCTGCCGCGCCCGCTTCGTTCTGGCGCCGAGGGCCCGCCCCCACCCCGGTTGCGAGCTGCAGGCCCCGAGTGAATGAACTTGATTTCGGGTCTTTTGAGGGAGGAGGTTTACCTTGCACCCTTTCTATCCACGCAGACGATCTCTGGCGCGCACGCACACACGGACACAGACACACACACACGCCGCCCACCAAATCCGTTTTTCGGCAAGGAGTGGGTGGGGGAGAGGTAGAAGCAAAGGCTGTCCAAACAATGGAGACAGGAAAAGTAAATGCCAGGGACTCCACGTCTACCTAGCTGAGGGCTGCCAGGGGCGGCTGGAGCCACGAAGGGGACTCGACACCCCCAGCCCCAGGGCGGGCCGCCCCCGCTTCCAACTGTGCTGTTGGGGTGTTTTGAGGCTCTCCCCCCGATTCCCCTTGCCTCTTATTCTCTCTCCCTCCCTCTCGATTTTTTTCCCTCAACTTTCTCTCTCTCTCTCTGTCTCTCCCCCCGGCTTCTGCCCACCACTCCCCCCGGCTTCTGCCCACCACTCCCCCCACCGCCTTCACTCCCCTTCGCGGACCTGAAGGAACCAGTGACTTTTTTCCTTCAGCAAGTGGGAGTTATCCACATCAAGCATTTCACAACGACACATCAAGAAAAGTAGGCAGGTTCAAGTCAACCATGAAATGGTCACTTTTTAACCCCGTCCTGTCCTCATTAGGGAAATGCTCAAACACAGTCCGTTTTCAAAGAGCGCTCTTAATGAGGCGAGCTTGCCAAGTCTACCAGCTGCAGCCCCGGTAAACCTGGAGCCCAAAGAAGAAAGGCGCTGGGGGTTGGGGAGTTAAGGGGGTTGGGGAGTTGAGGAGGCCGGGGAGAGGGGGGCGGTGGATCTAGGAAGACAGGTAAAGTTGGGGAAATTTCGAAAACTCTCCCGAGTTAACCCTTTAGGGCACACACCACTGGGAGCAGCTTCCCTGCTCCCCCGGACGCCGATCCTCTCGTCAGCGTTCTAACAACGTTAATTTCCTTTGTGTGTGTCATTTCTTTTTGAAAAGCCAGGATAAAGTTGACCGTCTTTGTAGATGAACTACATGAAGTGACAGTCGGGGTTAATCCAAATAAATACTCACTTCTCTCTCAGAATTTTGTAGACAATCTCAATTTTTTTTTTAAATCACAAAGCATCACTTTGTATTGTACATTACTCTGCATCCCTTTTCTCACCGTCACAGGAGGGGGGGGGCGGGGAAGCGCTACTGATAATACCAGCTTTAACTACTAGAGTTTCCCTTTGAACAAATATTCAATTTAACCGGAGTTAATTTACCATAAAAGACATTCCCCTTGGCACAAATGTGCTCATGTCCTTGAACACACCTCTTTGAATGCCTGGACTCTTACAGAAGCCATTATTTCGGGGTCTCTTTAAAAATGGAGCGCCCATCTCTCTCTCTTTTTCCCCCCTCCCTCCCTTTTCCCCTCCCTCCCCACCACACCACCCCCAGTGAAATCCTGGCACCCTGAGAGCGCTCTTTTCAAGCCAGAGATCCCCGAACCAGCCGTTGTCCCCTGGCAAAAGAGGCCCAGTGCTGCGTTCTGGGCCAGTGTCTGCAGACACGCTTGCCCCTCCTCCCCTACTAGCTTCCCTTACCAACAGAAACCGTTTCCTTTTGCCACCAAAAACTAGGTTGCATCCAAAAGTTTCTCACAAGCTTAAAAAAGAAAAAACGAAACACTGACGACCATTACACAGAAGAGCCCACAAAAGCTGCAGCAGCACCAGGGGTGAAGAAGCAGCGACAGACCCAGGTAAGACCCCAGGGAAGTGAAAATGTCTGGGGCCTCCCAGGCCTCTCACTTAGGGGTTCTAATCTCTTTCAGGTGCTCCGTGTTTGCAGGGTACTTATGGTTGGATACAGTTTGGTGGGGATGGAGGATGCTTGGTAGTTTGGGGGTTTGATTTTTTTTTCAACAAAAAGGAAAATGGGAAAGGAGCAATGGTGAGGTGAGGAAAACCAATAGGGAGGAAGAAGCAACAGACATCCTCAAGCGCTTATGGGGTTGGGTGCTCAGTTTATAAGGCTTTGACTGTCCTCTCAGGTCTTAGAGCCATAGAAAGGGGGGGCTGACACCCCCCCAAAAAAACACTGCTTCTGGGCCAGCCAATGCCAAGGTCACTGTAAGCCTTCCCAGGTTGAACTCTAAGCCTTTTGTAAAGAGGGACTGGTAGATTTGGGTGTGTGGGACATCTGGCTTCTCTCAGTAAGACACTTGTCCACTATCTTTGGTTTGAGAAATACCAATCTATTAATCCCCAGTAGAAGAGTTGAGAGGAGGACGTGAGAAAGTATATACATGTTATTCACTTTCCCTTTTTCCAGCATATCTGTGCCATGGTATTAAGTGTGGCTTTAAAGTATCTCTGAAAAGCTTCTAATACTATCAGAATAAGCCAAACACTTCTTAGACTTTGGTACTTCCCTCTCCTAAACTCTTTCTTCTCTCTCTCCTACACTGGAAGGGTTAAGGCACTGGTATGACAGGCCGATTTCATTTACCCCGAGCTACATTGAGGAGCTAGAAAAAAATGAATGGCTCCTGCAGCAACAGGAAAATCTGATATTTCAGAATTCCTAAAGATTTGCTCCCTGGATCATCTATTCCCTGCCATGTTATGGGGGGGGGGCGGTGGGGTATTTTCTGACAGTGTATTGATTTCAAGAAAGAATGCCAGTGTTTCAGGTGATTGGATTTTTCAAAACTCAATTGTATCATTTGAAAAATTAAGCAATGTTACCCAATTGGAGCCTTTCACTAACCTCCAGAGAGGAGCTTGACATCTCAAGTATCTCCTAATATTGATTTTCTTTTGACCTTCTCCCTTCTAAGGAAACTCAATGACAGGTTGCAAATCCTATGGAGTTTAGGGAAAGGTTTCTTGAAGCTTAACAAAGCTGTCATTTTCAATACATCAGATGGTTTTCTTTCTTTCTTTCTTTCTTTTTTAGCTCTTGCATGTGATTTGAGGGGTGGCTGGACAATTCCACACACCCTGGCTTCATCGCCAATATCAATATTTTAAAACTAAATACAAAAGAGACAGATGACCTTCTGACCCCAGGAAACAGGCCTGCAAAACTGCAAGTATCCACTACACCGTGCCCAGGGACCTTTGCTTCTTTCAAATGAACCACACAAAAAAGCAAACATGCATAGCCTGGAAAACACAATTTTATATACACAAGCAGGAATACCAAAAAATCCTCTCAAAAACGCATATATAAACAACCAACAAGTACTGAAATTGCCTGTGCTTGATGGGAATTGCAAAATCATGCCCAGCTCTCTCAGCGCTTAAACTACTAGTGTTAAGCTAGGATAGCAATTGTTCCCTACTAGAAAACTCACAACCAGTTAGCCTCCCCACCCACCACTGCCAGGGCTTTGCCTTTCACTGAAACGAATAAATAACCATGGACTTTTTTTTTCTCCTTCCTTTGGGAGCTGTTTGGTGTCCCCTGAGGACAAAACTAAATGAGAGAAATGACGCTGTTAATAATGTCACTGCTGAAATGCCTGTACTCGACTGTTAAAAAAAAAAATAGTGTCCCACTAAGTGTGCCAACCATTTCAGGCACACTTACAAGCTACAACTGAATCTGAGCCCAGACTGGGCCAGATTAACATTAGCTGGTTTCCACTTCTCTGCAGAGATGAGGCCCCCCTCATCAACAGATTCCCAACTCCTGAAGGCATTTGCTCCCGGGATTACAAAATCAGCAGTTGCCCTGAAACTTTTGCATGATTTAATTTAAACTTTGAAATTCACGGTAATAATTGCCTTGCTTCACTCACAATACTTCAAAAGTTACATTACACTCACACACAGTCTCCTCTGCTGATACTGAGTTATAGTTATTGTCCTTTTCTCAAAATAACTGACCTTTAAAACTTTGCTATCATTTTATTTCTATGTGTAAACTAACTTTTGCTACCCATCTACATTTGCCTTTGTCACATAAAAACAAATCGGTTTTAAAGAGATGGTTAGAAAGCTTTATCCAAGATGGTTAAGTAGTGGTTACATTCTGTATTAGGTGTAGAAAGTTCATTGCGAATCTATTCAAACTTTCTGCAGCCCTTTCTCTAATTCTTCCCTTGAAACCTGCCATTCTATTTGAAAATCAAAACAATGCATAACAACAGAATTGTGCATTTTAATTTTCAAATTAAAATTTAGAAAACACTTGCATAATTACAAAGAGAAAAGACAAACAGTTGGGCCTATACAAAATATATGTTCAGTGAACTTTACCTCTGAAATGCATGTGAAATATTTTAACCCAGTAAGTTAATAAATTTCAAAGCAATAATATTGTCAAATTGTATGATGTCACAAACTCCAAAAGCAGAGTTACAAATGTTCGTGACATCACATTCATTCATAATTATGCTGCTGCTCAGTCTGACCATATTAAAATTAAATGGATGCCTATGTCTGCTAAAGAATAAAAAGAATTTATTTTGGACATCAAACAATGAAACTGTCACCATTTATTGTATGAAACACTCAGCTAATCAATTTCCTATTAAAACAGCTTTCAACAATACTCAGCTTTAAAATTCATCGAGGCCAGTAAAAACCTTTTCCCAGTGCACAAGAATGCAGTCCCAACCACGGACGATAATTACCCTTCTAATACTTTTATTGCCCAAGCGCTTTTTCCTGTGCTCCCCATCAGTTAGGCAGGAATCTGCAGTATATTGTATCAGTGAGTTGGAGTGCTTGACCTTTGCCCACGTATGATTTAATAGGGACTTTTCAGCGCTGGAGCTTTCCCCATCTCTCATACCATTAAATGAAAACATCAAACCTCAAATGTAAAACTGGAAACCACAACGTTTTGTGTTTCACAACTCTTTGCAGTTTTTACTTAGGCTGCTTAAAGGTCAGCTTCTTCTCCTTCACAGTGCTCTCTCCCATACAGTAAATGTACTCACGAATTCTGATTTTGATTAAATCTTGAACTCCCCAGTCAGATACACACATGTACCCTGCTTATTTACACGTGCATTCTTTTCTAACCACATAAGCATGCGTGTATGGCTTTCTGGATTTATTCCATTTTAGGGCTGATTTAAATGTCTGTTCAAGTATGGGTTCAAAAGTTAACTTTTTCCCGCCTGCTGGAAATTTAAAATTACAAAGGATAGGGCCATAAGATCCATTCAAAGAAAGATAGAGTTAATCTTGTGTATTTTGGCGCCTTTTCCCTGCCAGCTACTGTACTTAGTGGGCAGGAGGAGGGAACTGGGAGATCTTGTCTGTCCTGTCTCAAGTTCAATGGCAGTTCTTCTAACCCGAGGAGAAGATGGCCATGTTCACAGCCCTAATAATAATTCCAATCACGCCACTTCGGCATCTTGTGTCAAACTCGAAACTGGCTTCCCCGCCCCCTTCAACCTGAAAGCTGCCAAGTCCTCACACACTCTGCATTCAACCACAACTTAATGGATGGGATATTGTGCATTAAAATGTGTCCCAGACGAACTGGTGAAGAGAGGACAAGGGAAAAGGGAGACAGACACACACGCACACACAGACTTAGACAGAGGGGGTTAAACAATCCTAGAGCAAAAACAGCAGGGCTGAAAAAAAAAGTTTTACCAGGAGAGGGAAGAAATCCATCATAATCTTTTTTTCTTTTTTTTGGTGGTGGGGGGGGCGGGAGGAGGAGGAGGAGGAGGAGGAGGAGTGCTAACAATTAGATCCTGCTTTGCAATGAATATTAATTTTTAAAAATTCCAGCACATCAATCAGAGCTAAATAGTGCTTCCATCACTTAAAAAATGCACTTTTAAGTGAATATATAACAAGCTGTGCATATTCACCTTAAAGTCAAGAAAAGAATGCCAAAAAAAGAATGGGCTACAAGATACAACTAAAGTTGTCATTTGTACAGTAAGTTTTCCCAACTTTGGGGGAGGAGGAAGTAGGAAGTTGAAGCAGGAAAAAAATGCTACATTTCACACCGTTTGGACTCAATGTTATCCCACTGATTCCCGCCATAAAAGTGTGATACATATATTAAAGTTGGCAAAGCTAAAAAAAAAAAAAAAAGAAAAATTACGTATTTACATTAGGTTTGGAAATCTAGCACTATAGCTCAACCTGTAAAGCAGAAATAGCAGTTAGGTGAACAGTCACTTTACAATGCACAAACAGGAAAATATCTGTCTGGGGTGGGGCGGGGGGCGCAAGGAACGAACAAGACAGGCAAATAAAGCCCATCATTTCAAAGCCACATACCATCGTACTGTATTGTATTAAATAAGAGATCTTGAATCTGTAACAGAACCCTGGGCCGCTGACTTCACGTGTCTCAGGTACAGATTTGTGGATTTTCTCAAGGGTTGTTTGTGTTTAGCTTAACAACAACAAAATTTTTTTAAAAAAAATCAATCCGGGAGTAGTCTTTTATTTTTTAAATTATTGTTTCTGTAATGCCACAATTCTTGACCCCAGAAGAAAAGGAGGTAAAAGGCAAATCTAAAAGCAGGCGGTCTCTCAGTCGGTGTGGATGGATATCCAGTTTTCCTTCCTGTCACTTGCGGAAGACTGTTTCTCGTGGTTGACTTGAACGCCGTTGAGAGAGCGAGAGAGAGCGAGAGAGAGCGCGAGCGAGCAAGCGAGAGAGCGAGAGAGAGACCGCGCCAGAGCGCCTGTGTGTGTGTGTGTGTGTGTGTGTGTGTGTGTGTTTGGTGGGTTTTATTGTTGTTTTAGCACGACTGCGCTAGAGGTGGGGGCT